TAGTTAATTTTTGGTAGAGGATGAGGGGGGGGGCGTTACCGGCCTGGCTGGGGTGATGCGACTTCATCTTTGGGGTGGACGATGGGGCGAGAATCAGGTGTAAATTGCAGTACGAAGAGGTGAGCGTCCAAATCTGGGTTGGGAGGGGGGGGTAAATCCCAATGCTTTGAAAGGAGACTTGACGAATGCCCACTCGTGAGTTGTCTACTCCACTGCTCGTGCAATCATCCCGCCCGCCCGCACGCAAATTGGTTTGCAAAGCCCATGCGGCGGCGATTGCGAGCACTGCTTGGCGCTGGCTGGCGCACCGCTGTGGCCGTGTTCGTGCGTGCAGGCTCGCGCGCAGAGCGGCCAGCTTGTCTGACGCGACCGACGCGGCCGAGGTGTCGTTGACCGCTGGGGACTTCCCAGCGCGTCTCGCAGGCCGCGTGACGCGCGGGCACTTCATTGCGAGTCGGTGATTCGGGCGGGCGGGGTATCATGGCGACGTCAACAACGGCAGTCACGATGATGATAGTAACGATGTTGGTGGCCATGATGACGATGACGACGGCAAGGCCAATGATGGCGCCGATGCCAATCACGCCGATGGCGATGGTGGTGTCTACGTGTCGGTGGTGCAAGTTTTGGAGTCGACATGTGCGCGCGGCCGACGCGCGCGAGTTGCCCGCGTGGTGTTGTTTGATCGGGATTGTACTCTTTTCAGCAAGCGTGCAATGGTTTTCGAATGGTTTCGTTTATGCACGCGCGAGGTCGAGGTGGTCGCATGGTCGCATTTCATCAACATGTTGGAAGTAAGCGGCTTCCGTGCGAATCTGCGAGAGCGCGTGCGTTCGTTGGTTACATGGCTCAGGCTTTTCGTTTTGAATAACAGTTCAAACTAACAGTTGTGTATACACATATGGAGTATGTATGTATGTATGTATGTATGTATGTATATATACATATATATATATATACATGTAGAATCACAAATCAAGTTCTGTTGCGGATCGACCTTGGGAACCGTGCGACCGTGCTGGCGGGCGCGCGCGACGGTTCAGGCGTGTGTATTGTGCCCGTACTTTCACAAAGTGTTCTTGCCAACATATGGTTTTGGGATTGAGGATTGCACGCGCGAGATCGTGTTTGACAGGCGTGATGGGGGTGGCAACGCCTGTTTTGCTTTGGGATGGTATGACCTAGTCGTTCGGATGAAAAGTGTGGCATTCTCATATTTAAGCTGCACCACGCCAGGGGAAAAACGATAAACCCTGGGGGATTGGTGGTAGATCGCATTTTCTTTGTAGACGTGATCATGTGCAACCTAGGCGGCGACGTGATGGGCGGTGGCGGGGCGGCGACGGCGACTACATAGCCGCTGGAACGGCAAACAGGCCCATATGACGGGCGGCGACGGGGCGGCGACGGGGTGGGGACGGTGAATACATAGCCGCCACAATGGCAGACGGGCCCAGATGATGGGCGGCGACGAGGCGGCGACGGGGCGGCGACGGCGGTTACATCGTCGGTGGGGCGGCAGACGGGTGGCGGCGACGAAGCGGCGACGGGGCCGCCGCGGCGGCTACATAGCCGCCGGGGCGGCAAACAGGCCCAATGCCCTCTGAACCAAAGGGAGAGACCGTAAGTGCAAACATTTTTTTTGAATCTTTATCCACATACATTGCATCACTTCGATTGCACCGTATAGGTTGCACCATCTTTTATTGCACCGATTCATATGCACCACGGGTATTGCACAACATGGGTTGCACAGCATATATTGCACACCGTACGTTGCACCACGTATGCTTTACCACATATATTGCACTACAGACATGGCGCCATATACAGTGCACAATTTATATGGCACTACATGTATAGCACCACGTCGATTGTACCGCATGGATTGCACCACGCATTGTGCACCACATAGACTGCACCGTAACTATTGCACAACATATTTTGCGTACCATCGATTGCACCACATTTATTGCGCCACGGAGGTTGTACCATGTAAATTGCAGTACACGTATTGAACTACAAGCGCAGCAGATTGCGCATGAGGGTTTGCGCCAAACATATACAGTTGTTTAGAAACGTTGCATCGCATCGGTTGCTTCATATTTGTATGTAGATATGTGTATATATTTACACTGCTATATTGCGCTATCCCCGGTGCACCACATTGATCACAATACCGATATTGCACCACATATGTGGCACAACATAGAGTGCACTACGTATGCTGCACAGCGGATTGCACAACGTATTTTGTAAGCGATAGATCGTACACCACATATCTCACAGCATATAGTGTACAGCTCGTACTGCCAACAAAATGTATCACAGTATAGGTCCTACGCCAAATGTTCCACCGCGTGTATCGTATAACATCCATTGCACAGCATCTATTGTTAGAAGCACTGCTTTGGGGTCACGGTGGCTATATGGACACATACATATATCTATACATACATACTAATGCGTGCGTGTGTGTATTTGTGGTGTGCGCACGTAGACATAAACACACTTACACACATACATGTTTATATTTAGATGTATGTCTCTCTCTCTCTCTATATATATATATCCTACCATCTGGGAATCATCCTAGAGCATGGGGGCCCAGTAATTAACACAGCGCGAACCCCCACTGTCTGGGGGGACGGGGCAGGGCACATGCTCCCGAAGAAAGAGGGGTGCTGGAAGAGGGAAGTGGCGCGGAAGCGTTGGCGGAAGGTTGGCGCAGGCCAGCGTACCGACTGCGGTGGACTTATGTAATGTATTGTGTGCCTTGCGTGTTTTGTCAGGGCCGCATCACCAGGACATTGTATTTTACATACATGCTAAGAGCGCGCGCGGCGGAACGTTGCGCCAACCTGGCGGAAGGTGGCGGAAACCCTCTTGGTGTTCTTTCCCACATCGCGGAATATTGGCGGAAGGTTGGCGGAAGGTGGCGGAAGCGCCGAGCCCAGCGCAGTTGTGAGTGGCGCAAGCCCGCGGCAGGTTGGAGGAAGGCTGCGGGAGTAAAACAATACATGAATATATATTTCAGTCGTAAAGTTTGCTAAATGCGTGTTAGGTTGTCTTCTTGTTGTTTTGGGAGGCTTTCCTGAGCCCCTGCATGGATCTCCGCGTACTTGGGACTTTTGGAAGATTCGAGGGAAGGGGGGGTGAGGCACGAGCCAGAAGTAGGGGGGCCCAGCCGCCTTCAACGCGACGCGAACGACAGGTCTGGCGTCGTCCGTCTCCTTCTCCCGCCGTCTCGTCTTCGTCGTCGGGGCACCCGCTGCTCCGCCCTCCCCCACTCCCTCTTCCTTCCGGGGCCCGTCCCTCCCCCCTCCTCTGGCGAGCCCAGGTGAGGGGTTAGGGAATCCGTTGGGCTCCACTTCCGCAAGCAAGAAGCGGAGGAGATTCTTCGACAGGTTCGACAGAGGCCTGAGCCCGAAGTCTTGCCCTGCAGGTGATGATGTTTGTTCTGACCTCGTCAGCGGTCCCATCCCATCCCCGCTGCCATTCCTCCTCCTCCTCCTCCTCCCTCCTCCCTCCTCCCTCCTCCCTCCTCCCTCCTCCCTCCTCCCTCCTCCCTCCTCCCTCCTCCCTCCTCCTCCTCCTCCTCTTCCTCCTCCTCCTCCTCCTCCCTCTCCTCCTTCTCCTCCTCCTCCTCCTCCTCCTCCTCCGATCCTGCTTCCCAGAGAGGTGCCCGAGGCCTACAGGTCACCCGCGGGGGTGCGGCTAGAATCGCGCTGCGCGCGTCGTGGCTCGGGCCTGGGCGGCTGCGCTCCTCTACGGGGGTGGTGCTCAGGCGCGAGGGCGCGAAGATGATCGCGCGTCGCGCATCGCGGGCCGCGGTGGGCGAACTTAGGAAGAGGCGCCCAGAGCTTGTACCTCCAATTTTTTCGCTAGATCAGATGCCCCTCCCCCTCGCCCGCCTCTCCCTCCCCTTTCCCCCTCCCTCCCCTTTTCCCCACCTTCTCCTCCCCGCCTCTCCCTTCCTTTTCCCCTCCTCCGCTTGCCTCTCCCCTTCGTCGAAACTACATTTTCTGAATATGATTCTCGTTCCCCTGACTGTGCGCGGAAGATGTTCGGCCTTCTCCGAGTTTTTCGTTGTAAGTCAGAATCGCATGATTTCCAAACATGCTTTCTTCATATGTGCTTTTGCAGCCCAAATGGTGCTCCCGCTGCAGCGTGGGCTTCATTTTCGGACTGGCGCTGTGCTCCCGTCGTTCAGACTGGCGCTATCGCCCCAGCGCGGGCAACGTTTCTGGATCCGAGTATGTTTCATCGTTGTCGCCCCCTTATTTCCCCTCCTCCGCCTTCCCCTGGTCGTCCTGCTCCTCCCACTCCTTTCGCTGCAGTTCCTGCTGCTGCTGTTCGTTCACGTCCGCCTCCTTCCTCATCTTCCTTTCCCTCCTGCTCATCCTCCCATCTCCTTCTCCTATGTACACAGCTGCACTTTTCCGATTGCGCACGACACGATGGGGTCTTCTTTGGAGTTCCAGGTCGGCTATGACACACGTCCGAGGGTTCAGAAACAAATCATCGCAATTGGAAGTTGTGGAAGGGAGGGATCGGATGTCCCGCCCCTCTCCTCCCCGCCTCCCCCCCCTCCCCTTCCCCTTTCGCCTCTCCCTCCCCATCGCCCCCCTCCTTCCCGCCTCCCCCCTCCACGTCTGCTAGGACCCCCGCTGGCGGATGGAGAAACAAAGCAGCGCCATGGGAAGGCATGGTTTGAAGGGACAGGATGTCAGATGTGGTGCGAGGGCACGCAGCTTGCCGCCCCTCCCCCCCGATCCTCTCCTCCTCCTTCTCCTTCTCCTCCTCCTCCTCCTCCTCTTTCTCCTCCTCCTCCTCCTCCTCCTCCTCCTCCTGCTCCCTCCCCCTTCCTCCCCCCCCTCTCTCCTCCTCCTCCTCCTGCTCCTTCTCTTCCTCTTCCCCCCGCCTCCTCCTCTCTTTCCATCCCAGCATCGAGCCGTCGACCCCGCCACCGTGTGCCGCCGCTGCCCGCGGTCGGCCAGGAGCGCTCGGCGGCGGCGGCAGCGGCGGCGGCGGGCAGGCGGTCGACAAGGCCTGGCGGGGCGACTACGTCGCCTGGCTAGGCGGCGGGGCGGAGAGGACGAGGGAAGACCCATATTGAGAAAGTTGTGTTTTTTTGTTGTTGTTGTTGTTGTTGTTGTTGTTGTTGTTGTTGTTGTTGTTGTTGTTGTTGTTGTTGTTGTTGTTGTTGTTGTTGTTGTTGTTGTTGTTGTTGTTGTTGTTGTTGTGTTGTTGTTGTTGTTGTTGTTGTTGTTGTTGTTGTTGTTGTTGTTGTTGTTGTTGTTGTTGTTGTTGTTGTTGTTGTTGTTGTTGTTGTTGTTGTTGTTTTTTTCTCATGAGTTTTTGGAATTATGCATCAAGCCGGCTTTGGAGAAGAGGTCCTGATTTCCAGGGACCCCGCTCGAAACACGAAACACATGAGGAGCTCGAGTCCTTGGAAGACGTGAGGGCGAGGACTCCTGCACGTCTCCCGCCCTGCTGGAGCCGATCCTCTGGGACCGCGGGAGGCGGGCGCGGACATACGGTCGGGAAGTTTAGGTGAGCGTGTCGCGTCGAAGGTTCTGTTACACCGCGCCGCGTCGCGACACGTGATCCACGTCCGAGTCCCCAAGCGTCAACGTCTCGAGTTCTTTCCAGACTCCCGCCACGCGGATCGAAGCGACACGCTATCCGCTCGCCAGGCATCGTGCGTCGCTGGGGCCGCCGCCGCGACTCTTGACCGTGGCAGGGCCTCTGGGGTCCAACCATGCCCATGTGCACTGCCTCCCTTGGGTCCTGGGAGATCGTGTCCCTGGGCGGAGGACGTGCGTAGATTCTGGCCCTTGCAGGCGAGGAGGAGGAGGATGGTGATTCGGCAGACGGAAGCAGTATGCGTTCAACATTCCGCTCCACCAGCACGGGGCGTGCCCCAGGTCGCCTGGAGAGCATGCAGCCCCACCTTCGCCGTACGGGGTATGAACTCTCCAGCCGTCTCTTGGGACAGGCATCCCTGACGGCGGGCGGTGTGTTGTCACACGGCTCGTCGTCGGCCACATGGGCGACACAGTAAAACGGGCCGTCGTCACGAACACTGGTGCGTAAGCTGCCCGCGCAAGGTCGCGCGTAATCGCTTTCGTTTCCAGTGTGGCGTGCCGCGCTGGTGGCCCGCGTAAGTCATCGCGTGAGCTTGCTATGCCATCTCGCGTGAGACCCGTTTCTTTTCGTCGCTCACGTTCCGCCGTGAGGGTGTGCATTCTCCAGCCGTCCTGGGACAGGCCTCCCCGACGGCGGGCAGTTACCAGACATCCAGTGTTCCGAGCGAGCCCCGAACTCTCGACCACTTCCCCAGGACAGGTTTTCCATCCCGAATGGTTTTCCCACCCATCCTGTGTACTCTGAGTACCTCAGTAATTTTGGGCCCCCGGACTACAAGGGCCCCCCCAGACTACCAGGGCCCCACCCCAGACTACAAGGGCCCCCCCCCTGGACTAGAGGGACCCCCCCCCCCCCCAGACTACAAGGACCCCCCCCGGCCTACCAGGGCCCCCCGCCAGAGTCGACTACAGGGACCCCCTCCCCCAGACTACGAGGACCCCCCCCCAGGGGCTACAGCCACCACGCCCAGCACAAGTGCTGCGGGATGCCACGACCCTGAACGACGACTACGACTACGACGACGACGACGACGAGCGCCCCCCGGACTACAGGAACCCCACCCGGACTACAAGGGGCCCCCCCTGGACTATATACAAGGGCCCCCCCCTGGACTGCAAGGGCCCCCCCCTACTACAGAACCCCCCCCCCCGGAATATAGGGCCCCCCCTCCCCCCCCCCCGGACTATTGGTCACCCCAGAACTATTGAGGTATTCAGAGTAGGGTTCTCGTTTTGAGCAAAGCACTACTTACGCAGGACGAAAGATTTTCCTCTTGAAGCCGAAGAGGACCACCCCCGTCCCCCGTAGAATCTTAACACGGGGGTGGCCTGCGGTCGACGGATCCCATTCTTGTGGGTTCCGAGAACGAATTTAATAGTATAAATTCAAAACGGGGTAGAAATAGGATCCGCCGTAACAAAAAAGGGTCCGACGCGGATCCCGCCAATCAGAAATGGGATCCGCGCGCACGGGAATGGGATCCGCCGCGATTTCACGATTACGGTAAAGTTGGAAATCGGATCCTTGCGACCCTCATTGGGTTCGCCGCTATGATCTCCCAGTGGGCGCGTGTACCGCGTGGGACCGTGAGGTTCAGCGCCAAGAGGAAGAAACATCGGTCTGGGGATGGGCGTTTTTGGCATCCGACCTGTCCATTGCCGCCTGTGGCACATCTCTTTTCTGCGGCTTCCGTTCGAGGCTTCCTCACATGCTCTTGAGAGCTGCCGTTCGAGACTTCCTCGCATGCGCTCGGCGCTTCCGACGTTGCATCGGCCTTGGGCCACGCAGCATCCAGGCGGCCAGGATACACACGTCGAAAGGGGCGCCTCCATCCGTGCTCGGCCAGACGCGGCGCCGAACGCCGCGTGGCGTGCCACCGCGCGGTGGGAAGTTCAGGGGGCCCGCTGGGTCGGGAGACGCAGGGCGCAGGCGCACTGGGCGTTTTTGGCATCTGAGCTGTCCTTTGCCGCCTGCGGCACAGCTCTTTTCTGCGGCTTCCGTTCGAGACTTCCTCACGTGCTCTTGAGGACTGCCGTTCGAGACTTCCTAGCATGCGCTCGGCGCTTCCGACGTTGCATCGGCCTTGGGCCACGCAGCATCCAGGTTGCCAGGATACACACGTCGAAAGGGGCGCCTCCATCCGTGCTCGGCCAGACGTGGCGCCGAATGCCGCGTGGCGTGCCACCGCGCGGTGGGAAGTTCAGGGGGCCCGCTGGGTCGGGAGACGCAGGGCGCAGGCGCACTGGGCGTTTTTGGCATCTGACCTGTCCTTTGCCGCCTGCGGCGCATCTCTTTTCTGCGGCTTCCGTTCGAGACTTCCTCACATGCTCTTGAGGACTGCCGTTCGAGACTTCCTAGCATGCGCTCGGCGCTTCCGACGTTGCATCGGCCTTGGGCCACGCAGCATCCGGGCGGCCAGGATACACACGTCGAAAGGGGCGCCTCCATCCGTGCTCGGCCAGACGCGGCGCCGAACGCCGCGTGGCGTGCCACCGCTTTGTGGGAAGTTCAGGGGGCCCGCTGGGTCGGGAGACGCAGGGCGCCGGCGCAATTTCGCAGGACGAAAGATTTTCCTCGTGAAGGCGGAGAGGACCACCCCCGTTCCTCGTAGAATCTTACCACGGGGGTGGCCCGCGGTCGACGGATCCCATTCTTGTCGGTTCCCGGAACGCATTTGATAGTGTAACTATAAAAAGGGGTAGAAATGGGATCCGCCGTAAAAAAAAGGGTCTGACGCCGATCCCGCCAATCAGAGATGGGATCCGCGCGCACGGGAATGGGATCAGCCGCGATTTCACGATTACGTTGAAGTTGGAAAGTCGGATCCGTGTGACTCTCTTTGGGTTCGCCGCTATGATCTCCCAGAGGGCGCGTGCACCGCGTGGGACCGTGAGGTTCAGCGCCAAGAGGAAGAAACATCGGCCTGGGGATGTATGGGCGCGGCCTTCTCCCGCCTCCCTCCTCTTTTCCCTCCTGCCTCCTGCCTCCTGCCTCGCCGTTCTGTCTGTGCGCACGCTGCGGGGCTGCGATCTGCGAAGCCGTCGCCAATTTCGAGGGCTGCCTGGGGCGTCATCGTAGCGGGCGGACATCCGTGCGGATTCAGATTAATCTTCGCCATCCCTGGGGAGCTGCGAACTGTGAAATTGTCGCCCTTTTCGAGGGCTGCTGGGGGGCCAGCATAGTGGGTACCCGCGCGGCTTCAGATCAAGCCTCGCCATCTCTTGGGGGCTGCGAAGTGCGCAACTGTCGCCACTTTCGAGTGCTGCTGGGGGGCCAGCATAGTGGGTATCCGCGCAGATTCAGATTAGACCTCGCCATCCCTGGGGGGCTGCGCAGTGTGAAACTGTCGCCTCTTTCCAGTGCTGCATAGTGGGCTCCGTGGATTAAGATTTGACCTCGCCATCCCTGATAGATTGGGGAGTCCAGGATGATAAGGGGGGGTGGGGCAGTTTGGGGTGAGGAGGGATGGGGGATGACGACGATGACGATGCTGATGCTGCTGATGATGGTGGTGGTGGTAGTGGTGTTGATGATGATGATGATGATGATGATGATGATGATGATGCTGGTGATGGTGATGATGATGCTGAAGATGATGGTGACTGGTAATGGTGGTGATGATGGTGATGATGCTTAGGACGAGGGCGAGGGTGCTGATGATACTGATGATGATGATGATGACGATCACGCCAATGATGATAGTCAGTGTGATGTTGATGGTGGTGATGGTGATGGTGATGGTGATGATTTGGTGGTGATGGTGATTACGATTATGCCAATGATGAGAATCAACATGATGTTGATGGTGGTGATGGTGATGGTGATGATGGTGGTGGTGATGACGATGATGATGATGATTATGATTGTCATGGTTGTGATGTGGATGATTGTGCTGATTGTGATGATGACGATTGTGATGACGGTGATGATGATGATGATGATGATGATGATGATGATGAGGCCAATCATGCCGCGATTGTAATGATGGGGTGATGAGGATGAGGATGAGGATGACGATGAGCATGATGCTTACGACGACGATGATGATGATGCTGATGACGAGGAGTATAGTGTTGGATGATGATGACGACGATAATAATGTTGCTGCTGCTGATGGTGCTGATACTGATGCTGCTGCTGATGATTTAGATGATGGCGATGATGACGACGCTGATGCTGAGGATGCTGAGGATGATGATGATGATGATGATGATGATGATGATGATGATGGTGACGATGATCCTGATGTTGCTTACGATGATGGTGATTCTGATGTTGATGATGATGTTGATGATGATGACGATGATGATGATGATGATGATGACGACGACCATGATGATGATGATGATGATGATGATGATAATGAGGCTGTTGATGATGATTTAGATGACGACGACGACGCTGATGCTGAGGATGATGGTGGTGGTGA